AGCTTTAATCTGCTGTGCCACAGTGCTGGCCCCAGATCGCTACATTTTTATTTTCCATTTTCCCTTTTTTTAACTGGGAATTTTTTTAAAAAAAGATTTATTTATTTATTTGAAAGTCAGAGTTATACAGAGAGAGAAGGAGAGGCAAAGAGAAAGAGAGAGAGAGAGAGAGAGAGAGAGTGTCAATCTTCCATTTGCTGGTTCACTCTCCAACTGGCCGCAACAGCCAGAGCTGTGCTGATCCAAAGCCAGGAGCCAGGAGCTTCTTCCGGGTCTCCCATGCAGGTACAGGTGCCCAAGGACTTGGACCATCTTCTACTTTCCCAGGCCAGAGAGCTGAATCAGAAGTGGAGCAGCTGGGACTCCTACTGGCACCCATATGGGATGCAGGTGGCGGCTTTACCTGCTATGCCAGAACACTGGCCCCTTAAATGGGAATTTAATTTCATTTATCTTTCTTTGCCTCCATTATCTACTGGGTGTTCTGAATATGATTAGTATTAAGTTGAACAGACCATAAACAGCTATACTTGAAGTTGATCAAGAGGAAAATACTACCCTTGGAAGTGACATTAGGTTGTTTCCATTATAGGGAGCATGTGAGTGCATTTTGATTGAACATGGAAGTTGTGATAAATGAATGCATTGTTGTGACAGTGTATGGCTGTCGGGTACCCAAGGGATGCACTGTCCTGTACTCCAATAACAACCATTGCTTCCCTTTTCTTCTGGAAACACACACTCTGCTCCCGGATACAGTGATAAGCACTGGACCCAGGTCAAGCAATCACATTATCCACCCCTTGGTGGCTGGCCATAAGCCCAAGTCAAGTCGATCAGTTTCCTCTCTGGGATTTACATACAAGCCCTGTATGAAAGAACTCTTTGGCTGGGGCACTAAATCGAAGCTGAGAGAGGCTATAGTGGTAGACAGGGTGAATCTGCAGTAGGGGAAAATGAAGTTGATTCTCAGAGAGAAACTGAGCCAAGCAGGAACAAGGAGGGGTTGGGGAGGGAAACAGTCCTGCCAGCACCCAGTCCTTGGTTCCAGTGGCTACAGTGACCTGCTGCCCACCTATCATTCCCAGTGACATCAATCAATGCGTTCCTTTTCTCCTTAAACTGGTCTGAGCTGATGTGACGGTGTCTGTGAGGGTGTTTCTTGATGAGGTTCACATGTGATAGACTGAGCTCTCCTCCTTATGATGGCATCATCCAAAACACAGACCAAAAAGGAGGAGTGAGGAAGAATTCACTCTCTGTTTTCAAACTGAGACGCTGGTCTCAAACCAGAATCTATACCATCAACTCTGCTAGCACGCAGGCCTTTGGACTTGGAATTGGGACTTACACCATTGGCTCTCTTGGTTGTCAATCCTTTGGACTCAGATTGGCACTCTACTACCATCTCTCCTGGCTCTCCAGTTTACAGGCAGTAGTTTATGAGGCTTCTCAAGGTCCACATTTTGTGAGCAAATTCCTTATCACAAATCTCTACCTATAAATATATACTACGTGTGTGTGTGTGTGTGTGTGTGTTATATAAATGTTGCATTTCTCTAGAGAACTCTAATACAGACGTGCTCATTGGGAACACTTGTACCCAAGGACTCAACTAGAATAACCATTATTAAAGAGGCAACAGGTCCAAAACCACATTCCCTTGTCATAAAAGAAGCCTAACTAGTTTATCTTCCATTCAGGTCATGCTGATCTTCCACAGTTTCTGGTTCCTAATTTACCTTTGATTGGGGTTGAAAGGCTGAGCTCAGGATGACAATGAAACATCACAGAAAGAATGTAAACATTTTATCCCTGGGCCCCACTTCAACATTTCTCACAGCAGCAATTGTTGGTGAGACAGACTCTTGTTTTCCCTGTGGAATTCCCTGGCAACTGAATATAAATAAAGAAATCAATCCTGGGAAGGGGGCCCTGGGCATCCAGGGTTGAATGGGGTGAGAAGGGAGGGAGCTCAGTGCTCAGATGAGAACAGAATTTCCTGCACCACCTCAAAGACCCCAGCACCTGACAGAAGTGTGACCGTGACAAATATGCAGAGTGTAGTCTCTCACCATCGGAATTACCAAAGAAGCTAAAAACAGAAACATGCACTGCATAATCTCTAACCTCAGGGGACAACAAAAACAGAGAATTGCTGTGTCAATCTCATTTCCTTGTTAGGCGCATTATCGTCAGTGGGGGCCTTTGGTTCTGAACGCCACACTTCACTAACATTTACCCGGCTCCAGCTTCTGAAATACTGAATTCCACAGTAATTTTATTTTTTGCTTTTGATCTTTACTGTTTTGCTCATTTATCCATAAACATGAGCTACTGAACCAACTTTAAATTAAATAGTTAAGGTTAAAACCTGAGGCCATCTACATGGGACCTAATCAAATAACCCAAGGAGTACTATGCTGTTGATGTGAGTAATAATAAATTTAAAATGTCAATCTTTGGATATCTCCACGTAACATTATTTGATGATGATCCATGCCTTGATTTATCTTGATGCCTTGGCTTAGGAAGAGAGGAAATTTACACACAATAAGGTTTTCTTGGGTGTAGAAAGTAAAGGAGTTCTAATGTGAATTTCGTAAATCCTCTTTTGTCAATGCACTCTTACAGGATGGTTCAGTGAAGATGAATTGCCAGAACCACTCTGCAAAGCTGCACTTTGTATCACTTGACTAATTTTGAAAAGTACCTCATTCTATCAATTTTGGTTATTGAGCTATTTTCTGAAACTCAGAATAACAAAAACTTGAGAGCCACACAGGGACTAAATGGAGAACAAGTCATTGGGGTGGACGTTTGGCAGAATGGCTAGGACACCATTTGGGACATCCATATCCCATATCAGAGTGCCTGGTTCAAGTCCTGGTTACTTCACTTGCAATCTGGCTTCCTGCTAATACATACTCGGAAAAGGCTCAAGCACTTGGACCTCTGCCACCCCTGTGGGTCATCCGGATTGAGTTTCAGGCTCCTGGAATGACCCAGCCTAGTTCAAGTTGTTATGGGCATTTGGGGGAGTGAACCAGCAGATGGCAAATTTTGCTCTGTCTCTCTGCCTTTCCAATATTTTTTTTCAAAAAAAAATATATAATTTTTAAAAGTTGTAATGGTGAAGTAAAAATGCAACGAGTCACAGTGTCTGTAGGGCATCTCCCATTCACCAAAACACTGTCAGTGGTGGAGAGGAGACGCTGGAGTGCACCTGAGGGATCCTTGGCTGCTTCTCCTTCCCTGTGCTGCCAGCCTCAGGTTTGGCAACCATCTGTCCACCCAGAAGACCAAGTTGACTGTGCTCATCCTGGCTGCATAACTGAGGACAACAGGATTCAATGGTGCGCCTAAACTGCCCAGTGCTACACAACTTGCCTAGGACCTTGCACATACTGGTGGAAGGAGAAGGCATCCAAGGATGCCAGTTCCAACATCTAATCTTTTCACGTGGCTTGAAGAGAACCCAGCAGAGTAGCCTAAGCTTCAGATTTCTCTGCTGAGAAGTTGTTCATTTGGGGTGATGATATGCACAGAGAACTTAATTTCATTCTATCTGATGACGGTGATGATGACAGTAAAAGTCAATTTTTACCAAGTGTTTTCTGTGTGTGTCTAGGCAATATCTATGTGCCATGTATGAAGTCCTGTAACTCTCAGGACACTTCTGTTAAGTGGGCAATATGATTACCCCATTTTACATATGGGGAAACCAACTTACTCACACACACACACAACTGGTAAGAGAAGGAGTCAACACAACACTCAAGCAACTGGCTCCAGAGCCCATGCTCCTAACCTCTGTGCATTCCTGCTTCTCAGACATTGTATACTGGGTACTTAACACTGTCTACAACCTCATAATTCTAGACTGTACCACCCTGACTTTTATTGAGAAGCAATACTCATGTCATCATCCTAACTGGCAAAAATGAGCCCTGGGGTATGTACCAAGCTTACAAGTTTTGTGTTTTTTTTTTTTTAATTTATTTGACAGATAGAATTGGACAGTGAGAGAGAGAGAGACAGAGAGAAAGATCTTCCTTCTGTTGGTTCATCCCCCAAATGGCCGCCATGGCCGGAGCTACACCAATCCAAAGCCAGGAGCCAGGAGCCTCTTCCTGGTCTCCCATGCGGGTGCAGGGGCCCAAGCACCTAGGCCATCCTCCACTGCCTTCCCAGGCCACAGCAGAGAGCTGGACTGGAAGAGGAGCAACTGGGACTAGAACCCGACGCCCATATTGGATGCTGGCGCCGCAGGCAGAGGATTAACCAAGTGAGCCACGGCGCGGCCCCAGCTTACAAGTTTCTAAGGAAAAAACAACACTCAACTTTAGTTCATTAAAAACAAATTTACATTTGAAACCAGATCTGTGTTTTAAGACATCCAGATAGCATATGATAGTTTCAGCAGGCTGAAAACACATGCCTCCCACAGGTTCAAGGGTGGGCTTCCCAAGGCAGAGGCCATACCCTGGGGTCTATCCTCACCTTCCAAATGTGTGTATGACTTTCCTTGAGAAGCCTGGAGTCTCACTTGGAAAAAAAAAATGAAAGACTAGGCTCTTTCATTAAAGGGAAGGGAACCTAAGTAAAACCACTGTCACACATGTTAAGGAAAACACATGACTTGCTTTACAGAGTGGAGTGTGTAGCAAGCCGGTCAAGCTGCTGTTTGCACAGGTGTATCTGTCCATGAACAAACAAGTCCAGATCAATCCTCCTACATTTCACCAACGAGAAAAGATAGATAACAAAGCATAAAATCATCCAACTATCACTTTTGACATTCAAGAGAGTGTGCCTCTGTCCTTTCGGTTTCCCCTAACAGTTCCCTAAGTCTTTTACTTGATTTAGGAAACATTCGCATCCACAGAAATGCTTTTATTAAAGGTGGAAAGAACAGTGATTAGTTCACTCACTCTCACAGACGCAGTGGAGAGCAGTCACTTTTGTCTACCCAGATACTTCCTATGGGAACTGTTTACCTGATATGCATTTCTGGAGATGCTCTGTGGCCATGCCCATGAAAACATCTTCTGTCCCAGACAGTAACGACTAGTCCAAGGATAGCATGTGACAGCTGTGCTTCCATGGCAGATTTTAAGATGGCACTCTGTGGCTGCTGGAGGCCATCTTTTCTGCAACATGGAGAGATGCGTTAGAGAAATCTCTGGGATGGTGAGACCATTTCCACTCTCAAAGCTCTAATTCCTGCAGCCTTTTCTTCCTTCCTGTGAGATACCTTAGCATTCTTCTGAGTTGAATGAGCCAATAAATTTCCCTTTGTGCTTAATCTGATTAGAGTTGGATTTCTGTCTCTTCCAACCAAGTCATAATGTAAAAGACTGAAAGTTTAAATCACTGCCTTGACCTCTGACAGAAGGTGTCTTCCTGGGCTGAATGCATTTCCCTCTCGCAGAAAGAGCGGAGTTTCTTTTATACCCAATAAGCCTGTTTCTTGCTAGCCTCAATCCTCTTTGCATTAAATCCATTTCTTTCTTTCTCACTTCAGCCAGATGTGATGGCTCTTTAACCGCAGTAACTTGGCCTGTCTTTGAGGAGACATGCAGATAACCTGTTTGTTAATAAACAGCAAAACATAGGGCCGGCGCCGCGGCTCACTAGGCTAATCCTCCGCCTAGCGGCGCCGGCACACCGGGTTCTAGTCCTGGTTGGGGCGCCGGATTCTGTCCTGGTTGCCCCTCTTCCAGGCCAGCTCTCTGCTGTGGCCAGGGAGTGCAGTGGAGGATGGCCCAAGTGCTTGGGCCCTGCACCCCATGGGAGACCAGGAGAAGCACCTGGCTCCTGGCTCCTGCCATCGGATCAGCGCGGTGCTCCGGCCGCAGCGCGCCAGCCACAGCGGCCATTGGAGGGTGAACCAACGGCAAAAGAAGACCTTTCTCTCTGTCTCTCTCTCTCTCACTGTCCACTCTGCCTGTCAAAAATAAATAAATAAATAAACAGCAAAACGCTCTGGCATCCCAACGAGTATGGGTCTTCCACGCGGCCACTTGGATACCATGACAGCTGTATCCTAGTGCCACGGTTTCAAGTAGCAGTCCTCAAAATAGCAGCATATTACAATCACAGGAAGACACTTTCCCAACACCAAGGCCAATGTCTCACCCAACAGATTGTTCTAATTGACCTAGAGAGGGGCCTGAGTTAAGATTGACTAAAAACCTAAGTGTTCATCCACTTCTTTAATAAATTTTATGATCAACTCAACTAGAATAACATATTCTCTATCCATGCCTTTGGTGGTGGGATTGGGAAAAGCATGGTGGTATCAGCCCTATGCAATCATCCTTCAGCATTTCCTGAGAAGTGCATGAATTCGTTAAAGCATATTGGGCATTTCTAAAGACGTGATGGGAGTGAGCAAAAGGAATGCCTGTTCTTAACACTCACTTACACCAGGGCTGTGTTCTCTGGACTTCTGAAAACCTGCTGTTTATGCCCAAGTGTACATCTCTTGTCTGCATTCAAATTCTCTATGTGTACATATTTAAAGTATTAAATCATACAATTTCTGGAAGACCTGCTTAAAAAAATCAAATACTTACTCTTTTTGACACAACTCATTGTGGTTAATAGAAATGATCACGTAACCTACATATCATTTGCTAGGATTGTGATAAGAAAGTACCACACACTGGTGGCTTAACAGAAATTTGTACATAGAGACAGGCACACAGGAAGAATGGCATGTGAAGATGAAGGTGGAGATTGAGGTCAATACTTCTACAAACCAAGCCACACGAGACTGCGGGCAAACCAAACACCAGCAGGTAGCGGACAGTCAGGGAAGAGATTCTTGCTCACAGCTCTTGGAAGGAACCACCCCTGGCAACATTTTTGGTTGGATCTTGGGTGGGGATCTCGGACTTTTAGCCTCCAGAACCCAAGAGAGCATAACAACCTTCTGTTTAAATTGTCAGTTTATGGTAAATTATTTTGGCAGCCCTTAGAAACTAATACAATCCCTAACAGAAAAGAAAGTTTAGGAATTGTAATCATTCACCTTTGATGCTAAAGTCAAGCATGGGCTGCAGACCCAGATGTCTGAATAACTCAAACACAGTAAGTTAAAGGGTCATTGTTGGTCTTCATGCAATACATGAAGTTTAGTACTAGCTTCTTGGAGGAGACGAAAGAAGAAGCTCTAAAAATAAAACAAAAAACTTCTTTCCTAGCACGAAAAATGGATCCCAGCTGCCTGGATATCACAGAAACCTAGGAAATGGAAAAGTTATCACAATTTTTGTAGCAGAAACATTTTTCTATCAGTGTTCAAAAATGAATGCTTACAGAAGCTTTGTGAGCAAACCATGACATACTCCAGATAACCAGAACACCAGATAAATCCAGTTGCTTTCCTGGATGAGGACAAATGGTGTGCAATCATCTGTAAAAGTTCTAGGAAAGCATACAATGTGTGTTGCTACAAAACCGTAAGTTTGTCAGTATTTTAAAACTGTGTTTCACTGGCTCATTTCAGAAAGTTCTCCATGGAAGTTTGTCCTCCAGTGGCAATACAGAAAAAAACCTTGGCTTAAATAGTAATGAACATTTCGAATCGACCATTTCTGCGGCAATGCTGTACTCAGAAAGTTAAGGAAGGGCAGAATGGAAATTAATCTTGCTGGTGGAGACTGCAAACTCTTCTTAGAAATTAAATCATCAGGCTTGACTCTTGTTGCCGTATCTCCTCAACTTCATTTTAATGCCTTTTTGCTTCCCTTTTCCATTCTGGCTTTAATAAACAACTTTATTCTCTTAAATATCACAAGTTCATACTTCTGTCCATAATGCTTTCACCTCTTTGGAAGGAAAGTTATTTTAGGACTTGGAGAAAGGTAAAAAATAGAGAATAAAATATTACATTACAAAATCTGATGAGGCATATTGTCTACTTTGATTAAATAGAAGAATCTTGAGGTGCATCCTTCAATGATCTGCTCTGTGACTTCGGAAGAATTTCTTCAGTACTTTGTTCTTTAATTCTCTTCACTTTAAGGGAAATGGCCCCAACATAATATCGGAAGAGTCAATGAACAAACTAATCCATTATTTTTTTTTTTTATTTTTTATTTTTTTTTTTTTGACAGGCAGAGTGGACAGTGAGAGAGAGAGACAGAGAGAGAAAGGTCTTCCTTTGCCGCTGGTTCACCCTCCAATGGCCGCCGCTGCAGCCGGCGCACCGCGCTGATCCTGGCAGGAGCCAGGAGCCAGGTGCTTTTCCTGGTCTCCCATGGGGTGCAGGGCCCAAGCACTTGGGCCATCCTCCACTGCACTCCCTGGCCATAGCAGAGAGCTGGCCTGGAAGAGGGGCAACCGGGACAGAATCCGGCGCCCCAACCGGGACTAGAACCCGGTGTGCCGGCGCCGCAAGGTGGAGGATTAGCCTATTGAGCCACGGCGCCGGCTCAAACTAATCCATTATTAATACCCAGTTATACACTGGTGGTGAATTCTGGTACTAGAACAGGTGGGAAAGAAATATTCTTTCCACGTGGTTGAGGACTGCTGGTGGCCATAGGGACACTGCATCGGAAGAGAGTGAGAAAGTAAATCAAGACGAGAATTTTGGAGACAAGAAAGGAAAAGAGGTAGATTACAAAGAAAATCCTATGAACATCCACACCTACTTAACACCAGAACGATCTCTAGTTTTCACTGTTACATGAGGCACTGCATCTTTGAGTTTGAGACAGCATAGAAGCAGAGCATACAAAACCAGGCCCTTCCCAACCTACTATGTATCCACCTCCCACCCAGGTGTGTACAGATCTCCTCCAAATGTGTATCCGTTTCCTGGTCTCTCCACCCAGTTCCAAACCAATAGGGAGGAAGGATTATCCACACCCTATCTGCAACTGACCCCCTACTGCCCACACAGACCCAGAGTAGCTCAGTGTAACCCACACATGATCCTTTCTGTGCAAGGAAAACAACAGCTGGCAGAACACCAGGATGGGTGCAAATCAACATGTCCCGTGTTAAGGGGCAGCCTCCATGCCTCTGCACCTGATACAAGCCCCTGCCTAGGGTTGGCATTAACACACATTGGGTTAAGCTGCCATGTGCAATGCTGGCATCCCATATCAGAGCCCACTGGACTGAGTCCCACCTCCACCTTCAGGTTCAGCTTCTTGCTAAAGCCTCCTGAGAAGCTGCAGATGGTTCAAGTGCTTGGGATTCTGCTATCCATGTAAACACCTAGATTCAGTTCCGGTCTGATCCAGCCCTGGCTGTTGTGGGTACTTAGGGAGTAAACCAGTGGACAGAAGATCTCTCTTACCACCTTCCCCCACCCCCACCTTCTCCTCTAGAGCAAAGAACTATTTTTATTTGGGGCTTATTAGGATTGCAATCTAGGAGACTGAAAGTTCTAGCAGCCTTGAAAATGTGCTACATTTTACAAGACAGTGATGGTTTTAATAGCTTACACTTAAACTGCACTGGAGTGGGCATTTGGCCTAGTGGTTAGAATGCCTCTTGGGAAACCCGCTTTCCAAGTTAAAGTACTTGGGTTTGAGACACAGCTCAGCTTCCAGTTCTACTTTCCCACTAATGTGCACTCTGGGAGCAGCAGGAGATAACTCAATTGGATCTCTGCCATCTAAGTGGGAGACCTGGATTGAGTTCCTTTGAACTGGCCCAGCCCAGCTGCTGCAAGTATTTGGGGAGTGAACCAGCAGATGGGAGCTCTCACTCTGCCTCTCTCTCCACCTCTCTGCCTATTAAAAAAATAGCAGAAATAAAATTTTAAAAATTAGGGGCCAGTGCTCTGGGACAGCAGGCTAAAGCCCAGGACTTTGGCACCAGCAACCCATATGGGCGTTCGTTCAAGTCCTGGCTGCTCCACTTCCAATCCAACTCCCTGTTAATGCACCTGGGAAAGCAGCAGAGGATGACCCAAGTCCTCGGGCCCCTACACTCACGTGGGAGATCCAGAAGAGGCTCCTGGATCCCGACTTCAGTTCTGCTCAGCTCCAGCCTTTGTGGCCATTTGGGGAGTGAACTAGCAGATGGAAGACCTCTCTCTCTCCTTCTATCTGTAACTCTTTCATATAAATAAAAATAAATCTTTAAAAAAAACTGAAAGAAGGACCTATAAAAATAAAACTTTTGGGGGACCAGCACTGTGTTGCAGCAGGTTAAGCCACCACTTATAGTGCCAGCATCCCATATGAATGCCAGTTCAAGTCCTGGCTGATCCACTCCTGATCCAGCTCCCTGCTAACATACTTGGGAAAGCAGGGAAAGATGGTCCAAATACTTGGGCCCCTGCAACCCACATGGGAGACCCAGATGAAGCTCCTGACTCCTGGCTTCAGCCTGGCCCACCCCTGCCCAATGCAGCCATTTGGGGAGTGAACCAGTAGATTGAAGCTTGCTCTCTCTCTCTCTCTGCCTCTCTGTAACTGCCTTTCAAATAAATAAATAAATCTTAAAAAAAAAAAAAAACACATAGTGTTCATTTCACTTTAACAGGTTTCCTTTTTGGTGCTCAGTTAGTTGAACACTATGAGAAACGGTGACTTGATCAGCCCTCACCCTGAATGTTGATGAGCAGCTTAATATGTTATCCCTCTTAGTATCTTTTTTGTTTGTTCTACTTAATACTTTTGGTTGAATACTGTAATCAATACACAATTCTTCTTAAGTGCTGAAACTTAACTGAAAAGTGATCACTGTTAAATATAAGAGTGGGAATAAGATAGGAAAGAGATGTGCAATTCGGGACATGCTCAAGCTGACTTACCTCAAACGGTAGAGTTAGAAACATACCAGGGGATTCGAATTCAATCCCATCAAGGTGGCATGTACCAATGCCATCTCACTAGTCCCAGTGATCAATTTCTGTTCACAATTGATCATAATGATAGGACTAAGAACCAAAGGGATCACATAAACAAGAATAGTGTCTGCAAATACTACCTGATAGAATCAAAAAGGGAGAGAATGATCCAACATGGGAAGTGAGATACACAGCAGACCCATAGAATGGCAGATGTCCTAAACAGCACTCTGGCCTCAGAATCAGCCCTTAAGGTATGCGGATCCGGTTGAAATGCCCATGAGAGTATTTCAGGCATGGAAAGCCAAGACACTCTGGGGGAAAAAAAAAACCTAAATGAAAGATCTCTGTGAGTGAGATCCCAGTGGAAAGAATGGGTCATCAAAGAAGGAGGTACCTTTCTCTGAAGGGAGGAGAGAACTTCCACTTTGACCATGGCCTTGTCTAAATATGATCAGTCAGTGAACTCAGGGGGCTTCCATAGCCTTGGCAGCTCATGACAACAGCCTAGGTTGATTACTGATGCCATAAACAAGAGTGTCAATTTGTTAAGTCAACAACAGGAGTCACTGTGCACTTACTCCTCATGTAAGATCTCTGTCCTTAGTGTGCTGTACATTGAGATTTAATGCTATAACTAGTACTCAAACAGTATTTTTCACTTTATGTTTCTGTGTGGGAGCAAACTGTTGAAATCTTTACTTAATGTATGCTAAACTGATCTTCTGTATATAAAGAGAAACGAAAATGAATCTTGATGTGAATGGAAGGGGAGAGGGAGTGGATAAGGGGAGGGTTGTGGGTTGAAGGGACGTTATGGGGGGGAAGCCATTGTAATCCATATTCTGTACTTTGGAAATTTATATTCATTAAATAAAAGTTAAAAAAAAAACAAAGTGGGTTAACTACAATTTCTGCTTGTTAGAAATTATATTGATACAGCAAGAATTTGCAAGAAAGGGATTGTGCACAGACTCAGGAATCAAGGGAGTCACCTCAGGAACTGTTACAAAGACCAGCAAATTTTATCTTAGACACTACAGTTTGGCCCAGTTTGCAAGGTCAGTGTGTACCAGGTGGGTATGTGCAGACAGCTCAGTTCAAAACTTCAACAGAGAATGTATCTCAGTTCAAAAGCTTAGCTAGGGATGTGACTGAGACCTGTTTAACAAGGTCCCCCCACTGACGTTTAAGTGCCCTGAACCAATACTACTCCACTTTGATTATCTTCTTGTGGGGAGCAACTCGGACTATACTGTTACTGGAATTAAGACTTATTCTATGCATCTGCTCTCCCACTGTGGGGAGCAACTCGGACTATATTGTTACTGGAATTAAGACTTATTCTATGCATCTGCTCTCCCACAATATGGCGCTGGGAGAGAAGAAAGAGGCTTCTACACAGCTGCCTCCAGTTCAACCAAGGAACTGTAGGACCTGCTCCTGGTTGGAGGAGAGCAGCGTGCTCGGCGTGTGGGTAGCAGAGTTGGGATTGGTGGAGGAGGACTATAAAGGAGGAGAGAGACGGCATGCACCAGGAACATCTAAGGGGAACATCTAGTTGAAGGAACACCTGTGCAGCCCCCAGAGAGCCGGCCGGCGGTGTGCCGCTCCCCTGCGGAAGTGGGGAATGTGGCCAGGGGGAACTGCCCTTCCACGGAGGTGGAAGGGATAGTAGCCAACCCGGGAAGAACCAGCAGCAAACCCGGGGAGGGCCGAGCAGACGAAAGAACAGCGCAGGGTCCTGTGTCGTTCCTCCACGAAGAGGGGGAGCGACACTTCTGTATGATTAGGGGCGGCCTCTCAGAGAAAGAGATACTAGAGGTGAGACTGGAAGGAGATGCAGGAGAAAGCTATGCAGCTATTTGGGGGAACAGCGTTTCCGGTGGAAGGGGTATGGACAGCAAGAGTCCTGAGCAGGACATTTGGGGTCTGTTCAAGGAGACCAGTGAGGCTGCAGTGGAGCAAGACAGGGAGAGGGGAGAAGGCATGAGGTCCCCAAGGCCAGAGGTGGCCACAGATCACAAAGGACCTTAAGCTGGCGATTGCAAGGAGACTGCACTGTATTCTAAGAAGGCAATCTTTAACTTTTTAATAGTCTTTACATTTTTAATTATTTGAAAGAGAGGGAAAGAGAATTTCCATCTACTGGTTCACTCCCCAAATGCCCACAATAGCCAGGACCTACCTGGCTAAAGCCCAGAAGCCCAGAACCAGAATTCAAGCTGAGTATCCCATGTGGGTGGCAAGGATGCAACTACTGAGTCATTGCTGCTGGTTACCAGGGTGCACACGAGCAGAAATCTGGACTGGAGCCAGAGCTGAAAGTTAAACCCAGGCACCGCAAAACAGGGTGTGAGCAGCCTAAGGGGCATCTTAACTGCCACACCAAATGCTGGCCCATGATTATACAATTTTTTTTTCCCATTTATTTGAAAGGGAGAAAGAGAAATAGACAAGATCTTCCATTCGCTAGTTGACTCCCCCAAATGTCCACAATAGCCAAGGCTGGGCTAAAAGCCGAAGCCAGGATCCCAGTGCTCAACCCGACTATCCCATGTGAGTGGCAGGGACCCCTATACGTGAGTCATCCATCACCTGCTGCCTCCCAGCATGCTCATCAGCAAGAAGCTGAAATCAGAAGTGGAGCTGGGACTTGAACCCAGGCACATCAATACAGGATGCAGATGTCCCAAGCAACTGCTGTGCCAAACATCTGCCCCATGGTTATTTTTAAAGC